TGACTGAGAAATAGAGCACTCATTCACTCATTCAGTCAGTCATTGAGTGTTGGATTTGTAGACAAAAACAAATCTGTGAGTCATTTGGCATTACATGAGTCGACGTAACTGTAATACAGTACTACTCGCAAACACTAATGCACATGAAGAGTCGTGTCTATAAAAAGGACCAAAGCTTTGCCACAAATCATTGCAATCCATTTGACTATTTTATTGCTGAACCTTTCGCTATCTATTGAATGCATGTCTTTAACAGTTAAGTCAATATTCTGTTATATAATATTCGCTATTTTATTCATATTTACATTACTATCACTTCAACGGATTTTTATATTAACATATAGATTAGATAAGTATGCTTATCTATGTGTTAATCTATTTTGTTATTTTTATTATTTTACTCTACTATAAGCAAATGGCAACTGAAAACTTTTACAAATAAAAAAGTTGCCAGACTTTAGTTCAGCAGAATTGAATATTTATAATATATATTAATAAGTTATATGAATACATACATGTATTAATACCATACTCTTATTTATGTTACATTCAGCTTAATTAATGGTAATGATTATGACTTATGATAATCAATGCCATTAATCATTGATAACAAATATTAACCAACTTTTTCTAATTTTCAAACTAATTGTCAATTAAGGGGATTTTTATGCCAATAGTTAGATACAGTACACAGACTTGATTACTTTCCTAAATAATATTTAAAATTTAAAATACTTAATCTTTAAATTACATAATAATATACTTGGTATTATACAATAGTAATGAATAAAAGTGTTGTAAAATTCCTATTCACTTATACGGTATTATTAGTTTGCTCAATACAAATGACTAGGTTAGTTTATAAATTATAATGATTGAATAAATGAACTTAAAGTATAGATCCGTTATCGCACCTGTATTTAACAGTTGAACAGGTAATGAATTTATTTATTTATTTAAATTAATAGACATTTATATACAGTATTGCGTAAGATATAGATGTTAATTAAATAACACTGACAATATAATTAAAATACAAATAAATTTATGAAAAATATTATGTTTCACCTGGATAATTTTTAAATTCTTATTTTTCATGGTTATTCTTGAGTGAACCTTCACCAATTCTGTGATCATTTGTTAATTTTAAATACTCTAGTAAGAATAAAAGGTTTTTAAAAATACTTTTAAATTGCCCAAATAAGCAAGCAAGCAAGTAAATGAAGTATGCGAAGATTTCTAGGTAATGAATATTACAATAAATTGAACATTGTGTACAAGTACAATTTGTATGAAATTCATGAATCATACGGGAAAGCACTGTCAGTCGCATACAGTGTGACTCACACTGACTGGTGAGCGACACACGTGTTGTTTGAATCAATGTTTACTGTAATACTGTCTCACAGTGTCTGTAGTGTTGTGTCATTTGAATGTAAGTGTAATACAGTATTGAATAACAATCGTATGACTCATGTATTGATTTAGTGGTCATTGAGGACATTATGAACTGAGGGGTAGTCGTGTCCAACCGGTCTATACCATCACCTCACGAGTGAAAGCATGTCTGAAGGTGCGGCACCGAAGCGTAAGAATGTCTATAAACACAACTATAACAAGAAATCCAAGAAAGGAGTCCTCGAGGAAAGAGTGTCCGGTTTTGTGGTCACCTGTAATCTCAATGAATACCAATGTCTTCGGGAATCATATAATCTGTTGAATGAATTCGCGGACAAATTGTACGGAAGTGATGACCAAATAAACAGTGGTGTCGGCGATGGACAGGTGGACGACACGGATGTGGAGAAAGCCATTCAAAATGAAATCAATTCGATGACCACTAAAGAGAAGCGCTTCCAACAGATGATAACGAACTGCAGGAATGTATTGTTCATTAAATGCAATGATAGTCGTGTGGATCCGATAGCCATGGCTTCGGAGATACTGAAAGAAATACAAACGAATGGCAAACAATTGACTCGACACCTGTTAAGACTGATCCCAATTGTGGTGACATTTAAGACAAATTGCCATAACTTTGATGAAATAATTGAATCCGAAGTACAGAAACAGACCAAAGAGTCGATTAGTTTCGTGATTCAATGCAAAGTGCGAAACAATAGTGACATTAAAAGAACCGAAACCATCGATAAAGTGGTAAATGTGGTGAAGAAAGTGCGACCGGATTGGAGGGTCGACTTCACTGACCCCAAGATCACCATTCAATTGGATGTTTTGCACAAAATATATTGTCTTTCGTTTCTAAACGATTACAACACTTATTGTAAATACAATTTGATTGAGTTCTCCAAGAAGTGGTCTCAACGACTAAATGACACGAAAACTGATGAAAATATGACTCTTAGTGTTGAGGACAAGCAATAAATAGTGTATAAAATTAGTTTTAAAGCAATAAATTGTGTATAAAATTAGTTTTAAAGCAATAAATTGTGTATAAAATTAGTTTTAAAGCAATAAATTGTGTATAAAATTAGTTTTATTAACGACTAGTTATACAAAAATTTCAAATAAACTCAATTCCTTCGTATTTATAATTTCCTATTAATTGTTCCGATAGTAAAACCTTTCCCTCGACAGTGAACGCCATTACATATGTCTTAATCAGTCCGTTGTCCTCCTCGGACTTGAGGGCAACTATTATTCTGTCTTTAGTGTTGGGAATGAACTTAAATGAGGAGAAGCCGTGAGTGGGAACGGCTGGTCCCACAGTTCTCATCTGGACGTCCGTGAAGTCATTATTGGAGATTAACATAACATTAGATCCCTTCCTCTCGTCTTCCTTCTCGTTATACTGAGTCGAAGAGACTCTTCTCGGGAGGAAAAACCACTTGTGATGGACATCACTCCAAACGGCCGACTCGTGGATCACATAACCGGGAAATTGAATGCCACACGAAGACCGCATCGCCAGGTAGTTGTCTCTCCAGTTCTGGTGATCCACTTCACCACTCGTTGAAACAGTTTTAATCCATTGAGGATTATAATTGAGAAGTTGTCCGGAAGTGGAGGTCCACTCCTTCCCCAGTCCTCCGACATAAAGGGTTTGATCTTTGACTGAAAGCCACTCGCATTTGAATCCTTTGGGAGTATTTCCGTCGCCGTCCGTAAGTATAACCCACGGAATGGGCGACTCGTCGCGGATCTCATACAACACGCCTGTCCTGTCATCACATGAATAAAGTTTGCCGTTGAAGACAATCAGTTCCGACAACTCCATGGCTCGTCCCTCCGATGAGAGACTCGATTGCAAACTAATGGACCGCTTATCCCACTTGACCTGAACGTAGTCTTCATTGGGATAGTAAATGAGATAACCTTTTAATAAATAACTAATCCATGCGTTGCGCTGAGTGTCGGTGCGGGAGTCGGTGTCCAAGTCTGAGATGACAGCGATTCTGAACTTAATCCTCTCGTCGGACAGGTATTCGGGTCTTGAGAGCGGATAAGTGGCGTTATATGCGGACCGTGTGTTGCAGTCCTTGTGGTGATGGATGTGCTGGTGATCATCGTCTAAGTGTTGGTGTTGTGTCGAGTTGTTCAGAGTGACCCGACTCTTAGGCACCAATGAATACAAGACAAAGAGGACCACAATACCGGCGATGGACACTACGGTCACGAACTGTGTCTGAAGTCTTAGCGTATTATTAGTGACTGAGTATGAGATGGGAGTGCGAACTGCTTTACGCCAATCACTCATCACTTCCAGCACTTCCAACACATCCACAGGTGTCGACCAATCAATTCGTTGCCAACATTTCACACAATTGTTTGCTTTTTGACACAAATATTTCAAATGCTTTTGACGTTCACTCGAAACACATATTTATAGCGAAAACTTGCGATGAGATTACAATGCAATCAATGAATGGATTGTAGAAAACGATACTATTGTACGAAAAGTGTATTCAAATGAAATCACAGAAAATGCTATCAAATGTACAAATATTGAGACAATTTATTAATACAATAAATAACACATTAATTCAAACATTACAATGACTGCCAACAGATGGCAAACACACTATGAAATAGTTTTTTAAATTTTATTTCTTTTCATAAATTGACTTCAAAATTCAAATTCAATTGCAATGGTTAACTTCAGTTTAAATGCACTATAATTGCAGTCATTTAGTAATAATTGGGTCAATAATTATATGCCAAATAAGCGCTAAAGTAATTGAAGTAAATTCTTATCAAAAATAACAAAATTTGATGTCTTATTAGTCCTATAGTTTTAAAAATTAAAATGTTTTAATTGTTAGCCATCTAATTAAGAGGATTTTAAACTTTTATTTTAATAAACCAGAAGTAAATTATATACACTCTTATGAGACAAGTGTCCAAAAAAGTGCTTGTTTTCCGGAATATGAACTTTAAATTTCAATTAACTGAATAATATACTGGTTTGTTATACAATAACCAAAATACAGGTACAATTTTATAGTGATCTTATCTTTACAATGATTTCTTATGTCAATTTTTGTTTTCCGGAATATGAACTTTAAATTTCAATTAACTGAATAATATACTGGTTTGTTATACAATAACCAAAATACAGGTACAATTTTATAGTGATCTTATCTTTACAATGATTTCTTATGTCAATTCACTCATTATTATACCATATTCTGCGTTAAATTTAATTTTAATTAAAATTGGCTTTCAGTCAAAATTGTGTGAAATGTGTGGTAACTCGCAGTACACCAACAAGTGAATCAAAGTTGCTTTAAACATACCTTTTAAATACAGTATAAAATACACAATAATAATATATTACTGTATACACTCTAATATATTCTTTAAATATTATACACCATTTATTTCCTATTAGAATTCTTATAGAAAATTCATTTTTTATAATAATTTGACATTACATTAAAATTTTTACAAAACTATACATTGTATTATAAACCATAATGTATATAAAAATGCATTACATTTATATGGTATTCAATTAGTCTAGAAAAAAGTTAGTTCTAATATTTATATCAATTTGTCTATTTAAGATTTTCAAAGTGATTAAAATAAATGTTTTATCATAAGAAATAATTTTAGATTTTGTATATTTCTGAAATGTAACCAATAATTGAATTAAATTTGAATGTTTCATTTGAATTTTTATCTACTGCTAAAAATAAACTCAAATTAAATTTCCAAAAAAAAAATTTTATATTTATTACAAATTTTTAAATCGATTATATGATCGAAATTTTAGAGCAAAAACTTTAGAATTAGAAAACTGATGAATGCATTGCGAAAAGTAATAAAAACTTATTCTATATTAAAAAGTATTTTAATACATTCCTCTTTTATTTAATAATAATATATTGTTATCTAAACTATAGTCGAAACGAATCGTGGAATTAATGCTTGAGTTTGAGCTAAATATACCAAATTTTGTTGTATAATACTATACCTGTATTGTGAGAGAATAGACGGCAACAATAAAATGAGAATTTTATATTTGCTTACAAGTTATGCTTTTGATAACCAACTAATAATTTAATAATATTGTGTTTTTGTCAGTATTCATTCAATAATTTAATTTATTTCGGTTTTATTCTGAACAGATTTTATACAATAGAGTTATAAATCTTTTTTATATTGAATAAGATCTACATATAATTATATTATAGTTAACAATAATCGCTAAATTATTATGGTATATCATAGTATAATAGTACCAAATATTTAACTTTTTATTTCTTTATCACCAAAAGCCATTATCCCATTTTAATATGTTTAAATTAGATTAATCATATTTTAAATACAGTAATACTAAAATAATTTATACAAATTTATTAATCTAAAATAAATATCGACTTACTGTACAGAATCTGTACTACAGATTAGTCTAATTAATTAGACTGTCTGTATACTGTAATACTAATATTATGCAGCATATGTCTAATATTACTGTAGCACAATAACTTTATAGTATTTGATTTAAATTATAAATTTGATTTTAATTATTAATATGAATACCATAATAATACAGTATATGATAAAACTGGGTGTTATTCAAAGTATACAGTATAAGCAATATTATTATAATTTGTTGGATATAATTTATTTATTTAGGTAAAATTTAATACCGGTATATCGTAAGCCATCTTATTATGAATTATATCCGTATAAATAATGTGTTATAATAAACTTACTTTAAAATTATTTATTTAAATTCTTGTTACTGTGTGATAAAATAACTTAATTTAATTTAATAGTTAATTAATGATTTAATTAGATCATATACTAAGTTCATATACTAATAATTTATTATAAAAAAAAGACTTTTATTTAAGATGTTATTTATACCGTTCATATAAAAAAATTTAAATAATATATTAATTTAATTGGAAAAAATTAATTTAATATTTGCTCTGATTTTATTCAAATTTTTTAATATGTAAACTACTAAATGTTTAGTCTGCATAAAATAAAAGCCAATATGTTAGACATGGATTCATTTTACGAAGAACTTGTTTACATATCTCATGTGAAACACAATATAAGCGATAAGTTTTGTTTTCAAATTAATATAATTATCCATTCTTTCAATTTTGATTATAATGTGAATATTAAACTAAAATTTAGAAATCGTGGCTTTTATATCAAATCTAAGAGAAACAATATTTGAAAACCAAAAACTGATATAAGTTTGCAAACAAATAACATCATCAAATCTGTTCAATCATATGAAATTCAAATGAATACCCATTCAAGGATTCATTTAACTGATTAAAAGCTTGCATTCATTCATTTTATTAAAATTATATATTTTGAGATTATATATTTTCCATTTATTATTTTTAAATAAAATAAATTTAACAGCTAGATAAAATATATAGGTTTTAAAAATATTACTCAATGTTCATACAATATGATATTTGTAAATATAAATTAAAAGTATAAATATCATTAAATATAAACCACAACTTTCTAAAAAGAAATTTCATTTTTGTGAATTAATATTCAAAGTGAAGCTTAGGTTTAAAATTGCTTTTTTGTGTTTTATTTCATAGAAAGTAAGAAAACAAATGAATTATTATTTAAAGATTTTATTACATAAATACAAATGCATTAGAATTTTATTTCAATTATGATATAATAAAATGGTTCGTAAAAACGCGGAAAACCATTTGATAAGCAATTTTAAATAAATTGATTACAACTTTTAATAACATGATCAGGGAAAAGAAAAGCAATTTTATTTTATGCTAAATAATTTGTCGCTCAACTAAACATTTCTTTTTCAAATGTACAATTGTTTTACTTTATACTTATATTATCCACTTTGAAATATGTTAACAATTTGAATGCATTAACGTATTAACCAATAAATCGATGAATATTTTCTTTTCAAATCAAATGTAATGTCATAATTAAAATTGAAAGATATGTTAAACTAGTTAATTGGTGTTTGAGTTTACGATTACCTCTGGGAAGGTATGAAAAAGTGATGGCATTCTGATTGTCTGAATATGCAATTCATTCATTTCTTATTTGTATAAAACATATAAAAGCCATTTTTCTATTATCTTGTAATATAAGTACATTATATTGTATTTATACTTAAAAGGTTTTGAAAATGATTTATACATGTGTTTGTAAACCTTCTTACAAATAAATATTATATAAGTTTGGTTTCAATTTGAGGCCTTTATTTATATGTTATATTGTTCCCTATTTTAAACATTAATGAGTTTCAATGCTATTACTCATTGATTTTAATTGAATTTATAAAACTAGACATTTTTATTGTTAGTGTAGTTTAGGTTAATATCAGTAAACTTTTCGCAATGAAAACATTTGGTTTCATCGATGACAGCCATAGCTTTTCATATAAGTATTGATAATAAATTATACAATGAAACAAAACATCCGTAAATTTTATATTATATTTATGTTACAAAATCAATAATTGAAACTCGTTTCAAACAAACCCTCAAATTGTAATTTATTTCTTTTAACAAAATTCAAACAAAAAACTCATTGAAAATTGTGTACAATTGATGATTTGTCCATAAAATATAATCTTTGACGATTGTTTGGAAAAAACAAATTTTATTCAATGAAATCATTGAAATAAAAATAATTTCTTATAATTCTTGTTTAACATATAAATGTTATTTAAATAAAAATATTAATTAATAGATATTCAACGGTACAATATATTAGTATTCAACATGTATGAAATGACAATATTATTTATGATTCAATGAATTCAATATACAGTATATCTTTCTATAAAATTGTTTTTAAATCTTTGATACAAGAATTCATACATATTTTGACACAAAAAGAAAATGTTAAATAAAAATGAAAGAGAAAGCCTCACGATTTGATAGATAATTAAACACAAAAAAGGCTTTAAAAGAATATAAAGTTTTTATTTAATGCCAAAAACATATATTGAGGCCATTATACAGGTCTTCAAGTCTTGTAATCAGTTGAAGACTACATTTCAAAGAATAAGACAAAAACAAAAGTAAAATTTTAATACTACGTGAAAGTACTGCAAAATATAAGTCAAAAAATAGAAACAATTAGAAAAATAATGTGTTTTAAGTGATTGGGTGTTCACTTGAAAGTCATAAATGGAAAGACAATGAGTTAATGATAGAGAAGAAATGCATTAATATAATAAAGATATGAATGAATGCAAATAAAATTACAAACTATACCGTATAGTCTATA